ATTAATCTTTCGCATATGTCGAAATATTGCATGATCAACGGCGTCTACTGTAAAGTCCACGTCAGAAGTTGGCTATTGGTGTAGGTTTTATTTCTTTTATTTATCAGTTACTTACGTCTAGAAAAAATGCTATATATAGTTAATGAGTTTGCATTATTCCGCTTGAAACAATTTCCATTTACCGCGTACTTGTTGAACCCTATCGCTCGTAAACATGACATCAGGGCATTTACCTGAAGAGATGGCCGACGCGGTGAGAAAGACCTCAATTATTGTTCATATAACTTTTGGAACATGTTACCTTTTCGGTTAATAGCATTACGAAGTACAGGGATAAAAAGATTTTTAAAGTCTTATTTGTGAAATTCGTGATGCTCTAGAGTATCTTTCGCAAGAAAGTTGTGAATTGATAACAGCCACCTGCCTCACCAGAGGTACAGTGCAATTTCGGTGTGCAACGTAAAATTCTGGTGTTTGTACTCGTTGATTTCAGAAGATACTGACCGGACTTATTTAATGTATTTTCGTTTCCGTAAAGATTACACAATTATATTTTTATTATTAGTATTTGAGTATAGCTTGAAACCACGTCTGAAGTTGGATGTTGAAGTAGCCTTTTTCCCTTATTTATTTACCAGCTACTTACGTCTATACAAAATGCCATATTTTAAGAATATGCAACATCCCATTGGAAAGAGTTTTCATACTGCACCCCAATCGCCATTAAAAATGGCATTAGGGTGTGTTACCTTAAGCGATGGCCGATTTATTGACGCTGTGAAAAAGACCTCGTGTAGTGCGCATATAACTTTTGGAACATATTACATTTTGGGATTAACAGCATTAAGAAGTTCAATGCCTTACTTGTGCAGTTCATGATGCTATATGGCATCCTTCGTCAGCAGCATGTGAATTGGCAACAACCACCAGCCCCAACAGAGGTATGTTAAGCAAATGTAAACCACCGGACTGCTGTGCCCTACAGCGCTATTTTCATCTGCAGGGTGAAAGTTTTATGTTTTCTCATCTGTCCCGCTCTGCCTCTGGCCTCAGCAGGGCTCCTGACAGCCTTTACTATTGGTAATATATGCAGTCAGTTTTGCCCGCAAAGCCAAGGAAAACTGGCATGGCTATATTAGGGTCTTTGGTTGTCACCAGCCGGTCATACCCCTGACCCAAGGGGTGCTCCACTGGAGATTTGAACTCGTGACATTTTTGATCAGAGGGGAAAGTCTGGTGTTTGTTCTCGTTGATTAACGTTCACCGCCCCTTCACCAGTTCCACACCGCCTTCGGCCGCTACAGAGGTACTGACAGTCATATCGACTACTAATATAAGCAGAAAGCATTAGGCAAAAAGACAGTAGAGACTATAATGACCATTTCGGGCTCATGTTTGGTGATCAGGCCGTGATACACGCACATCACCCTTTCTTAAAATCGCGACGTTTTTATCACAGATTAACGATCTATTCATTAGGAAAACATCCCGTTTAGGAGGCAAGAAATAGACAGCCGTCGATGAACGCGCGGTGTTTCATTCCATTTCCGGCAGAACATTCAGAACAGACAGAAGTGCTGTTCAACCCTTAGGTTGCTCTTCATTAGCCAACCGTCTACCTTCGATTTCTACATTTCAGCTCCTTTCGATAAGTGCAATGCGGCTCTAGAAAAGGGAGATTGCAAAGCAGCGCATCATCGATTCGGCTATGATGCTGCGAAGGGCGCCTGCATACCATTCACCTACGGTGGTTGTGGCGGAAACGCAAACAGATTTGAGACGCTGGAAGAATGCGAAACTGCAACGGCGACATGCTCAAATACAGGTACGTCGAAAATGTATTTGGAACTATATGTACTATGTCAGCGACTGTGGTAGCACTATGAGCAGTAATTCAGATAGCAAGAGATAGCAGATAAAGTGACATGGCTGAGAAGAAGTAGGTGCAACAGCGGATCAATGAAATTAATTCGCTGAAAATTTCATGCTTTCAAACGAGTACATCA